TAAACTGTGATACATAAGCCACCCCCATTTTTGGTTTATCATTGGGTTTACCCGTTTACCCCCATTTGGGAATGATGAAAAATGACCCCAAATAGATCAAATGGTTACTGGGATGGTATGTTATTGGGGTTACCACGTTGGATCCCAGATTTTTGATAATTTTTGGACCTGGATGGCCCTGAAAGGGATTCGCAGCTCTTCAGACACCCTGCAGCTTTTTGCCCGATGAAAGGCAGAAAATCAGCAGCATTCTGATAGCCCGAATCTGGGTCTACGCTCTAGTCACGTGGTAATGCAAACCATAGCCCATAGCTGTTTTCATATGTTCTCATCATTTTGTTTCGTTTTAGAAGCGCTAAACGAATGGGATCAATGTTTTTCTTTGGCTTACCATGGTCTCGCGAATTGAAGGGACTAGATCCGTCCTCATTCTTTGCTCCATGATGAGCTTTCAGTTTGGAATTTGGTGACCCCAACTGGAAAATCAGAGCCATTGGCACTTGCAACCACAGCAAGCAACGAATCAAGCTCTCCGGGATCCTGGTTCTCCCATTGAAAACCCAAGGTGCCAGCTTCAGTTTTTTCCTATCTTGGTTAGAGTGACCATGCCAACCCCCAGCACTGGGCGCAATGGTTCAACGGCATGGTCGGACAATGACGCACAGGTGACGCTGGGGCATTGGGGCATTGGGGCATTGGGGCCTTATGGGCAGGTATGACGTCATACGCACTTAAGTGCCCGCTGCCTTGGTTCCCAAAGTACCTGGTAGTAGCAAAGTCAGGAGGGAAATCGTGAAAACTTGTGCTCTTTCAAGCATCTTTGCCCAAAGTCCACTGGGGTTTCCACTAAGCTAAGGTTGAATGATGGTGTATTGTATGATGTTGTTGCGCGTAATTTCCAACGCTAAGAACCCGAGATTTCGAAGCGACTCGCCCATTGCATGGAACAGTTCCGCGCGTTTGAATGTTTTGGCTCAGTCTTCACTTCCCCGGCGTTCCACAATGCTGCATTGTGCGCTCCTAGGCACTGATGCGCTGATGCCATGATGCATACCATCCAGGAGCACATTGCCTTTGCCTTGACACATGGGCTTTGCCGCATTGCTACTGCCCACCAACTCTTCATTCCAGTCTTGACCAACTGGTCAACATCGTCAACTGGTGGTTTGTATCCAAAGCTACAGAAAGCATCCCATGTGGATGTCTTCAGCAGCCACTCGGTGGATGAAGTTTTTGGCAATTTGAACTATCACTTTGCCATTGCATGCTCTGGCATGGCTGCATTTCTGGCCGTGATGACCCTGGTGCTACTTGCTGGTGGCTTCAGTGGTGTAGTGGCACTGCCGCGACGTCTTGTAATGTTTCTCGTGTTTGCCGGCCAATCGTTGCATTTCTTCTCGCATATTTTTTTCGGACACCTGCGTGGAAGCACGTCGTTCTGGTTTGATCAAGTATGTGTCGATCAAGAGGACTCATTGGTGAATTTTCAGACCCTTCGAGCACTTCCGGCATCTCGGATTCAGCAGCTTCATGTTTGGTTTTGAAAGGGCCCTCCGCAAGTTACAGCGGTACCCTTTTACGAGGGATGGAAGCTGTTTTGAAATCAGTTGAACACTTGGACGCCATTTTGGGAGCGCAATGCATGAGTCATTTCAGTCATTTCCAGCCCTAGTTTGCGGTTGATGCGGTTACGAGTTGGGGTGAAGTCGTCTCAAAACCCTTCTTGGGCCTTCATCGCCAAGTCGACTCAACTGCTTCTTCTCTGGGACGATTCCCGGTTCGTAACGCTGATTGTACCTGGAACTATGTGTGCATGGATTCCTTCGCATGATAAGCAGAAGGAATGGAGGCCACCTGAAGGTTGGCCAGATGTTAATCATTGCCGTGCTCTCAACAAGCGTGCTGACGCTGCGGCGGGAAGTGTGAGTGCAAGTTTTCAGATTTTTCAGGAGGAGATTTCGGCAGCTCTTGTGCAGCATCACTCTGCGGCCAGTTGGGCTGCTGCAGCCTTCAAGGCTCAGAAGGAGAATAGGCAACCTTTTTGGCAAGTGCTTCTCGACCATGGCCCTGCTTGTGGTCGCGATGATGAGTGAGTCTTTGTGGTTGGCAATTATGGCGTCTCAACTATCTTATTTATTAGAAGCAGGTTGACGCCATCATCAACAACAACAGCAGCAGCAACAACAACAACAACAACAATGATTCCCTGTTCGAGCGATTGTGGTGCAATTATGAGCTAGCAGTCCACGCGGAGACCTCACAAGCTGGTGCTTTCAATATTGTGCCCATGTGGCAAGCAATGTGGACATTGACTTGGTTAGGGAGTTGGTCTGCTGTCAGCTTTTTGCATTTCATTGCCCACGCATGACGAAATCATAGATCAGTTCAATGCTTTTGTGCGTGGCCCGCTGCTTGAGGGCATCGTGAGGTCAATGGGGAAAGAATACCATATTTCTTTCAGTCTGTGCATAATCGCAAGTTTGCCTTTTTTTTTTTATGGGTTTGGCAGAAGTGTTGGGCGGCGATGGGCAGGGAGGCTGCCAGAAATCGGCGGACAAATTTGGCAATCCGTCGGTCTTTCACTACGTGTTCGCAAATTCCGTCATGGACCTATTCCTTGTTCCTTTACCTGTTTTGGTATCAATCCCACTGTTGCTACTTACAAATCACTTCGTAGCAACAGCAAGAGTGCAAGGCGTATTTTGGGGGATGATTGTGGGATCCCTTCTGTGTTCCTTGGTCCTCTCCGTTTGCTGCTTTATCAACATTTGTGAAGCTGCCTTGTTCATAGTAGTAGCGGCAAAATTTGACTACATGTGTTTTTTTGGATTTGCTCTAGGTCTCATGTCAATTGTCTCGGCCTTGTAGTGTCTATATTTCCAGAACCCGTCGCCAGAGAGTCAACGCTCATTGGTTCGGATGTGACTTTGCGATCTTGCGGAAAAAGTGCTGCAGGCTGCGGTGTCGGGCCTAAGCGTTCAGCTCACCTTCGGTAAACTTGGCGAAACCCTGATGTTGGGAAATTCACCTACACAATTCCGGTGGATATTCTGCGGCAAAAATGCCTGTCTGACTTTGGTTCTCTCTGGTGCTTTTCCGTGTCACATGCAAGCGTTTGAGGTAGAGACAAGAAACAGGAAACTTGCCAACATACGTCCATCCTTACGAATCCTTCATATATGGCTTTCAGCTTCCCGTGCCATTGCCTTGGGTCAGGTCCAGGAGACAAGGGAGTTCGATTCGCTGCGGAGGGAATTTCAAGCGGAAGTACAGACGCTGAGCAACAGACCGGTGGCGGGAGAACGGTGGCCGGTGGCCGGCGTAGGCATCAAAAAAAAAATAAAAATGCATCAAAAAAAAATAAAGGACGAAAGGAAGGAAGAAAGGAAGAAAGGAAGAAAGGAAGGAAGGAAGGAAGCAAGGAAAGAAAGGAAGAAAAGAAGAAAGACAGGAAGGAAAGAAGGAAGGAAGGAAGACAGAAAGGAAGGAAGGAAGAAAGGAAGAAAGGAAGGAAGAAAGGAAGGAAGAAAGGAAGGAAGAAAGGAAGAAAGAAAGGAAGAAAGGAAGGAAGGAAGCAAGGAAAGAAAGGAAAGAAAGGAAGAAAAGAAGAAAGACAGGAAGGAAAGAAGACAGGAAGGAAGACGGAAAGGAAGGAAGGAAGAAAGGAAGAAAGGAAGGAAGAAAGGAAGGAAACAAGAAAGGAAGGAAACAAGAAAGGAAGAAAGAAAAAGGAACCAAAGAAGAAAGGAAGGAAGAAAGAAAAGAAGGAAGAAAGGACGGAGACGAGAAAGGAAGGAAACAAGAAAGGAAAGAAATAATGATGTAATATTACATGCATAAGAGATCATTCAAATTACATGCAGGCATCACCGTAGCAGTTGCGTACTGTTATTTATGTATATGTATATATACATATATATATGCATTTATATACACACTTATATATTTATATTTAAATATATTTATATTATTTATATTTTCTGTTTATATTTTTATATACATAGTATTTCTATTTATGTTCAAATTCATATATATATATACTTACATATAGAAATATGTAAATATATACATATACTTATATTTATGCATGTATATATACACTTATATATTTATATATATATATTTATGTATTTATATTTATATATTTATATTTACATATTAATATATATATATATATTTATGTACTTATATATATACACATTCATATGTATATACATATAACTGTATATATATATATGAGTATGTATCTACAAGTATATATACTGTATTCCACATGTTTCCAGGGTGCATGTCGTGTAGTCTATACACCTTGAGTATCACATTCAAGCCAGCACCTTGCATGTGAAAATAGGTGTTTCCAATCTGCTTTGGGGGGGAGGCGCTGCGCCCTTCCCCTGAATCCCCCCCTCCCGCTTTTTTTAAACTATTTAAATAAAAAAGAAAGACACTTTTCAATACACTATATAGTTTGATTCGACTATATTCATATTTATGTTAAAATTTATGTGTATATATATATACATATATCTAGACATATATATATATAGACACACACATATATATGTATATATATGTATGTATATATTTGCATTTATATATGCACTTATATATATATGTACTTATATAAATGTATATATATATATATATATATAAATTAATATGTATATACATATCCATGTAAATATTTATATAATTGTGTATCTCTCAGTATATATATTTACATAAATATATATATATATATATTTACATAAATATATATATAAATGTAAATATAGATATATATATTTATATAACACATACATATTTACTTATAGATATACAGACGTATATATATATATATACATATGACATATTTGTGGTTGTTTTTATACACAGCTTTGATCCCAAAATAAACTACAAATAATCACGTAATTATACCTACATGTTGTATCCCTAAACCCTAAACCAAACCCTGCATATACATACATACATGCATACATACATACATACCTACCTACATACACCTTGAGTATCGCATTCAACCCAGCACCTTGCATGTGAAAATAGGTGTTTCCAATCTGCTTTGGGGGGGAGGCGCGGCGCCCTCCCCCCCAATCCCCCTCTCCCGCTTTTTTTTTAATTATTTAAATTCAAAACTTGCACACTTTTCAATTACTAGTTTGATTCTTTTATATTAATATTTATGTTTATATATATATATATCTAGACATATATATACATAGACACATATATATATATCTAATGTATGTATGTATGTATGTATTGTAATGTAATGTAATGTAATGTAATGTAATGTAATGTAATGTAATGTTATGTATGTATGTATGTATGTATGTATATCTTTGCATTTATATATACACTTATATATATATTTATGTACTTATATAAATGTATATATATAAATACATATGAATATGTATATACATATCAATGTGTATATATTTATATAATTATGTCTCTATCAGTATATATAAATATATATATATATATGTTTATTTAGAAATACACATACATATTTACTTATAGATAGATAGACGTATATATATATGACATGTTTGTGGTTGTTTTTATACACAGCTTTGATCCCAAAATATACTACAAATAATCACGTAATTATACCTACATGTTGTATCCCTAAACCCTAAACCAAACCCTGCATATACATACATGCATACATACATACCTACCTACATACATACATAGATAGATAGATAGATATATATATATATACATATGTATATTGATTGATTGATTGATTGATTGATTGATTGATTGATTGAAGAAAACCATAGAAAACTTGCAGAAAACCATGGAAAATTGAAGAACACCGGGGAAACATTGAAGAAAACAATGGAAAAATTGAAGAAAACCATGGAACAATTGAAGAAAACCAGGGAAACATTGAAGAAGACCATGAAAAAATTGATACGGAATTTTCTTGTTTGATACGGACCACCTGGATATTGCGGACAGATCGGCAATCGACATCTGACCCTCCCTCCCCTGTCTCCAGACACGTACGAGTCTCACTTGTATTAGCATACCTCGGAATTTATTTTTTTTTTGATGCAAATTTTATTATTTTTTTGATGCGTGTACCACGTTGAAATCTTGGACAGTTCCATAGAAGTCCAGGGGAATATTTTTTTTTTGATGCAAATCAATTTTTATTTTGATACTTATGGGGATATTTTTTTTTTGATGCGTTTTTATTTTTTTTTTGATCCTTCACCCCCGGGGCGGCCCCCCAAAACCTAACGGATGCCGTCAAAAGCGGTGGGGCGTCGTTTGTTCATGTTGTGTTTGCCCAGGTCCAGCTATTGTGCACCCAATCCCAAAACACAGAGGTTGCGAAGAGATGCCATCTGCACCCCTTCACCAGAAACCCTGGTTGAGCATTGGCTCTGTTCCTGTTGGGTATCATACTGTTGTTTTTTCCTTATAAGGTGGGATATGTGGGATGACCATACCCCGTGTGGGCAGATAGGGATATTTCATATACTATACGTTACAGTGGCACTTTATCATCATTTCAGGATAGTGAACTATGTTCATCTCCCGTTTTTGATGAGTAAACAACACCCTAATCACTTCTTCCTATTACTAAAACTTCTCCAAATAAAAAATTGGACTGGTGTGGCACTTCCGTTTTGTTTGGTTAGGCACAATTGGATTCTTAATTGTGGTAATTGAGAATCAATAGGAGAACAGGATGGTGAAACAATGGGTTCAACCCATATTAATATATTAATAAAAATCAATTGCCACCTGGAGTTTTTTTTTTTTAAGGGTCCAATCTGACAAGTTTTATTTTTTATTTTTATTATTAAGGTTTTCATTGGAATATTAGGGGAAAACTTCGAAATCCAGTTTTCGGCTATAATATATAGATTTTCATATATAATGGATTTAATCAAATTCGAAATTGAGTTTTTTTAATTTTCATCATCTAGGTTTTCATTGGAATATTGGTTCGAAATCCAGTTTTGGCGATATTTTATATAGATTTGTAAACGGGATTTAATCAAATTTGAAATCAAGTTTTTTTTTGAAATATTATGATTATTAGGGTTTTCTTTGGAATATTAGGAGCACCCTCATTTACAAAATCCCTAATAACAAAAATAGATCACCGTGTTAGTGTTTACCATTTGGGGGGGGGTTGTTTTAGTTATAGGGAGAGAGGATTGCCAGATACCTATGGATGTTTGGGGGGATGGGATTGTACTCCCAGGAAGTTGTCGGCTCGCTTGAGTCTGGTCGAAGAAGGCCTCAGGGCCCATGGCAACGTGGTGGCTGAAGTTGAGCGGGCCGTTGAGCCGGAGATTGAGCCAGTGATCTGCAGAAAACTGGAGGGCTGGCTGAAAATGGACGATTGGACCCACCACTTTAAGAATTTTTAAGAGGAAACATGATGAAGGGGCTACTTGTACCTCATTTTGAGACAAATGCGCATTTGAGGACTGGCTGATGTCCAATGGATCTAGTTGAATCCCGTTCTGGTTTGGATTTCGAAGGAGTTCGATCACCGAGGTAGTGCAAGCAGGATGCCTCCGCGCATTTTGATGATTGTAGACATTGTAGACCTGAATCATCCAGTTTCTGGCCCTTGCAGTTGGGGATTTTCGGGATGGCCCTTCCGATTTTCAGCTAGAGGACCTGCAGCGCGGTGATTCCAAGGTGAAGGTTGACGTTGAAGAAAGCTTCGCTGGCAGAGATTCCCTTCATCACCTTCATCCTGAGAGTTGCTTGGTGGAGATTGGTTCGCTCTGCGAGAGTTTTCCTCATTTGGGTCTGTTTTGAAACTTGGGCTATTTGAACGGAAAATAATGGTATACTGGATTTAGGGTTACCCGATTTTCAGACAAACCCATTTGACTGTGGTTAATGTGTCAGGTGATGTGAATTTCGAGGAGAGCGCTTGGACGTATCCTTTGGTGATTGGCTTGGCAGATGCCAAGCCAATTGATGTGTGCTTTGCCGTGATACTTCTACTGCTGAACTTGTGCAGCTGGGCGACACGTTTTGAAGTAGAAAAACGACTGCCTGGAAACTATGAAACCTTCACATCCAGTTGGCACACCCACCCACAATCTGCAAAGTTCAAGAAAAGGCCTGGCCCAGCTTGCCCAGCTTGCCCAGCCTGCCCACTGGCCTGCCCAGAGCCTGCCCAGCTGGCAGGTATGCAGCTGATTTTTTCCGGCATTATTCTGGGTCCCGATTTCTTGGGTGAGGAATTCGACACAAAGAAGGACGTGGCGCAGCGCTGGCGCACCAGCTTCGCGCATGACTACAAGTGTCTGAGATGGCGGACACACGGGTTTTTGGATGTGTGTGATGTGGGATGCTCTGTCTGACAATCGAATCTGGCAACGGAGTATACAGTATAATAGTAACATTATAGTACCATTTGTGGTATGTGGGTATATCCACTGAGGGCGGGCTATTACATCATGTACATAAGTTTACACAGCTAGATGGATAGATGATTTCCCCACTGAAACTGGGGATTCTCCATTATGGGCTCTAGAATGGAGGCCCCAGGACATCAGAGGATGTCTCATTCCGGTAAAAAACAGCCTACCTTCATCTGTATAAGCTGTCTCAAAAAATGGGACCCCCCAAATCCCATGCTGAACATCATTTTAATTCATGGTTCATTTTACAGTAAGCACATGCACTTTTAGGGTATCCTGGTATCCCCCATGTTCATCCGGCGCGAGGAAAGGAAGTCAAGTTGCACACCAAGTAGGCCTTGTACATGCTCAGACAATCTTACATCTATCATCATATATCATTCTATATTGAGCATGCACGCATACAATCGCATACATGCACATGGGGCCAACATATAAATGGATGACATATCGCAACATGGAATAGGCAGGCACTGCAGGCACCAGCCTCACGGACCTGGTTAAAACCACCCGAGGTACGTGGATTTGTCATCCACCAGCCTCGTGACGCGCGTGTGCTCTGCAGATGGTTCCCTGATTTTGGCCACCACCCAGGCTGCGGGATCCCGGGATGCCTGGAAGCCACTGGGTTTGAACGGTTTGAAGCTCACAGTGCAGGATATCAGGAAAACTGTGCCAATTTGAGTGAACCTCACAGGTTAACACCTAGTGGTTGATCTATCTTTATCCAGAAACGCTCGTTGGGATATCCCACGTTATCACACTTGATGTGTACTTAATATCTTTGGATGTGAGATCACAGGCCTCCAGGATTTCTTCCAGTTATGGCATCAACAACTGGGGGATCCCAGCAGGCGACGCTGGTCACGCACATCAACAGCTACATGGGGCTCCTGACAGATCAATTTGACGCGGGGTTCTATCAACCCGGCATTCTGCTCTGCCTGCTTTGCATCCTTCTATGGACCTTGTGCGTATACAAGGCACAGCGATAAGCAACGGTCATCTTTTCCGAAACCATGGTGTGCATAATTATCAAAGTTGGTTTCAGCACATCTTCTCCAGTGAGCGGAAGTTGCCAATCCCTTCTTTGCGGTCTCAGCTCTGTAAAAGGAGGCGATGTTGAGCTGGCCATCTAGCAGTCCCTTTTTCCCCCCCAGGAAGTTCGCAGCATTTGGCTGGCCCTGGAAGCAGTTTGGCAGCTGCCGCGCTCTGAACACACCGTTGTTCATGACACTTGGTTGGGTGGTGAAGCCACGTGGTTGGCTTGGTAGGCGGGGAGTCACAATGGGTCACACCACACCGTCATTCTTGGTTCCAGTGCCCGTCACAAGGTTCCAGTAGCCATCACGTTGCCGAAACGACCATACCCTCAACACTGAGCCTCACCGCACCAGCCAGCTAGACTAAGGAGAATGCCATCGTGAGCCTGTCAAAGAAACGGTTTATGGCATTGCTTTTTACCTACATCACTCGCTTTGTGATAGCATGGGTGATGGGCTGAGAACGTGGCTATGTGGGGCATGGATGCAAATATGGACTAATACTGCAAACACAATTTGAAAAGATGTGATGAATGTGATGAACATAGTGCGGACAAGAGTTTCCATGCCTTCTGAGGCTACCTTGTTGTTTTGTCATGGATGGAAGTGAGCTTATCAAGTCTGTGGGCTTCCAGTGAGAATCAGCTGTGGTTTGCAAGCTCATTTTTGGTGTGTCCCCTCTCTTGAACAGGGGGGTGGCAAATTTCCCAATTGGGGGCTCTTCAGTATCACCTTTGGGTGCTTGCTATTGATGATGCTCAGAATGATTTTTAAGCGAGGCTCGAGTGGGAATTTTTCACCATGCCATGGTTGTTGTCAATCTCCGCGTTCTTATCTTATTTGAGGTGTTCTCAAAAAATTGAAGTTGTGTTCATTTCAAGCCTATCTGGGATGATCCAACTGTTATCCAACTGTAAAACCTCACATAAATTTTCAGCTTCAAAAGCCACGCCCAAGGACCCAGTTGTTGCCCCCCAAGGAGACCCAGCCTGACCCAGGTGCTTCTCATTGCTGGGGTCCAGTGGCTTGCACGAACCACCTCCATCACAGAGACTCGTCCTGGCGATGTTTTGGAGAGACCCTCCAGGTTTCCATTAAGTATGTAATATATATTTATATATATAAATATTATGTAACATATATATATATATAATATAATATATATATATATGACTTATATGACTTATATGATTTATATGACTTATATGACTTATATGACTTATATGACTTATATGACTTATATGACTATATATTTTATATAGCTATGGCTATATTAGTTATATATAGTTTATGTAACTTATGTATAATAGTCATATTTACCATACATGGTTGATATTTCCATAGTGCAGTGAATGTTAAATGAATGTTCAACGAATGTCCAATGAACACCTGAATGATTTTCGGTTTGCTTGCTGGCTTTTTTGAGCCGCTATATTTGGAGGAACCGAAGACGTTTTGGTCATTTTCAGACGAAGCAGTCCATCATTTCGCAGCCCTGCGACTTTCCAAGGAGTTGATGCTGAATGCTGTGGCATTGAATGCGATCCTAGATGTCGATGAGCTTCTGGAATATGATGGACCTTTTGCCCCAGGATTGGACAGAAAAAACCCAAGTACCTGATATATTTCAGCCCCCTTTTTTCGGAACCCAAGTGAACAGATCCGTTTTTCTAAACCAGACTTTCTGCGGGGCCTTGTTTTTTGGAGGGAACGGACCTTCCCCCAGCAAGTAGGTCCACAGATCTTGTGATTACCGACTCACCATGGTGAAAACAGAGGGTTTTCCCATGGGAAAGTGGCCTGCAAAGCAGGCGGTGAACTGCTATAAACTGAGTAACAGTGTGGGTTATTGACTTAACGGGATAATTTGTTAGGCCACATACCCATGGAGGAAGATGGGATCCCCAAGCGATTGGTTTTGGGGGACCCAAGGTCAGCCATAGGATGATGATCATCATGGCTTATATCCTGGATTATTTAACGTAGCCATGGAAAATCACCATTTTTAATAGGTAAACCATCTATAAATGGGCCAGCTATACCATGGCTATGTTAAATAACCAGAGGGTATATCCTGGATTATTTGAGGACTGCTTGTGCTGTGCCTTGAAACTGAGGTTTCTCTATGCCGGCTTCACCCCAGTTTCGCTGCAGGCGTCTCAAGATTTCAGACCTTGGGAACTAGTGCTGTTCATCTTCAGGAGCAGCCATGTGGTGTTGTTGTTGGTGTTGTTGTTGTTGTTGTTGGAGAAAGCCAGATACAAACATCCAATTGGTGATGGTTAATAGTAGTTAATACCACCCCAAATTATTATTATGTAAGTCATGGAGGTTTGTCTATGGTTGTTGGGTCTGCCACACAGATGGCAGTGGTGCCAGGTAGCGATCAAACACCTGGAGCCAGTGAAAGTTCGCTACGCTGCGTGGAGGAGTCAGCTGGAATCCGCCCTTTGATTTCAAATGACGAATGTGGGTGGATGGAGTTGCTGCAAGTTGATTTTTATCCATAGTTTGTCTGGCCCGAAAAGCACCTATGGCTCCGGATTGTAGCGGGGGCTCCTGGGTTCTCATTCAGAATTTCTTACAGCACTCAGACTTGGACCACCACTTTGTGGGATCCCGTTTGGCGCTAGGTGGTTCTATTTCTGCTGCTGCTGAGCACGTTTATTCTTCCCTATGTCAGCCTTTTGCAACCTCTTGGTGAGACGATGCTGGCGGTGAAGAGGGAGCTGTGCTATGGCAACCAGACCTTTGTGGTTGGAAAGAGCCTTGCTGCAACCGTATTGTGCACTTGTCAACTCCAACAGTTGTTGGGTGAAATCCCCTCATGAAATATCACACCTGTTGTGGTCATTCTGGTGCCAGTCTGGCGGTGGTTGTCTAAGTTTGCATGGTTCTGGCTGCAAGGAACACTCAAACGCAAGTGATTCTTGGATACACCACGGCGAGTGAGCGCAGTGGGGACCTCTCGGTGATGGAACGGGCGGTAAAGGATCACAAGTTCAGCTCAGCCGGGGATGATGCGTGTCCTGGCTGCTAGGGGCACCAAGGGTTAGAATCCCCGGTTGAGTACGGGAACCAGTGCGGTACCCTCTGGTAAACTAACATAACTATGGAAAATCACCATTTTTAATGGGAAAATCCACTATAAATAGCCATTTTCAATAGCTATGTTAAATTACCAGAGGGTAAACCCAATCATATTCCATCTTCCACCAGGGACCGTAGGGATTATTTCAGGGGGGTCATCGAAGTGGTGGAAGGCCGCTACGAGGGTTTGTTTGAAAATGGTGTCCCCAAGTGGCCATTTCGATAGGGAACATGATTATAAGCCATGATAAGCATTGATAAGCCATCCAAATTTGGGTCACCCTTTATTCTAAGCAATTTTTATCCGGTGATGTATTTTTACCCGGTGATGTATATCTGAAAATTCTGAGAATAACAATTGGGCTACCAATGGTGTCCTGACGACTGGACTGGCTGGATGATGTGAGGCCTCAGGTCTCCCATAGAGTCACCAGTGGATTGGGATACCAGCCTCAAACATATACAGAACAGATGGACGCCTGGAAACTATGAAAAGAATAATGATCCTAACTCATGGTACCCCATCCTTCTGGTGTGTGCATGGCTTTGCCATGTTTTGCCACATTTGATGCGCTGGGGGCTACACGAAGGCGCTACATCCACTTCGTTCCTCCCGGGGACTTTGAGAAAGAACGCGCCCTGGCGGTTGAGACGGTGAGACATGCCATCGCTCGGGATCCGATGAGTTGGGAATTCTGATGTGATCGGATGCTGATTTGTTCAAGACCTACCCTCTGGTAAACTAACATAGCTATTGAAAATCACTATTTATAATAGGTAAATCAACTATAAATGGTCCATTTTCAATAGCTATGTTAAATTACCAGAGGGTATTCTGATTTGACCAGAAAACCAAACCAGGTTTTTTAGCCAGTGGAATGGACATAGGGAACGGCTCAGGACACATATGGACACATTCAAGATTGCATTCAGGGATCAAGATTGGACAGTCCAACCAACTACAACAGTAACATTCACCAGCTACGGGGGGAGATTTTTCATCCATGGCGGTTTTTCACCATATTTTCTCCCATGAATGGCCATTTGGGAGGTGTTAAAAACCACAATTTGGGACATATCCAGGGTCACCCAAAGGTAGGGAAGGGTTCAAGTGCTTTGATCTATAAGATCCCCCTATCTTCCTCGCTGGCCAAACTGACCATAGATTCATAGATGATGATAGGCATAGGGGAAACCATCCCAAAGATGGTTTTTGGTTGCGCTCATTTCAGGTGGTGAACAGGATATCTATAGGATATCTTTTGATGGTTAAATCGATCCATTTGAGCAGAATTGGCCAGAACTGGTCCCCCACGAACGAAACCCGGCAGAAGGATCAGCCGTTTTTTTCCGAATCAAGCCTAGAACATCAGGAACTGTGACGATGGAACAGGAGAGCATGGATTTTTCCCTTTGTATGGAAACAGAGATGTTCCATCCCTCTGGCAGCTACTACCAGGACCCGGTACCTCAGCTGATTTTTTTTTGGCTGTGGAGACCTCGATGGCGGGCAGCATATTTTGGAGGTGGTGCAACCATGAAATAAAACACGGGATAGGTGGTGTATGGAATCATCAGCCATCGTTGGGTATCATGGGGATATGATTCGTCGTGATATTAATGGATATTCATGTGGTTATTTTCATGGGGATGTGGTTCTACAAAGGACGTTAAGTACTCAAAAGGAGGTCCCCCGAGGCAGTGTTAGTGCTGAGGAACGAATGTAAGGAGAATGCCGTCCAGAGGTTTTGAGCTGGTAGGAGTTGGAGTTTGTAGATTAGAGTCATTGGAAGCATGAACCGTAGGATCCGAAGGACAGATGGCCGTTTAGATCAGATCAGACTTAGACCAAGATAGCTTGTGTAGCCAGGGGCAAAAGGATCCCCAGGGGGATCCTTTAGCATTTCTTCTGCATTGGCACGTGTGCCCACTTTTTGGTCACATCCACTGAAGCCACCTTCCCATGTGTCTCTGCCGCGTAACTTGTTCAGCTGTTCAAACCTTTGCCATCCTTCCGACTGGCGTTTTCCAATCCGTTTGCCGTAGAGATGGACGCTCGTTTCCCGCGAGCCAGGCCTGCTGCAGAAGGCCAAGTTCCGGAAGGGGTGGAAGATGTGGACGCGGAGTCCAAAGTGGAGCTGAAAGGGGATCCCTTTGAGATTCGCCTCATCAGCCTTATTGGGGATGAAAAACTGGTCTCCGTGGAGCCCTCCAGCAACATTGCTGAGTTGCAGGAGTTGGCAGCTGAAGCTTTGAACTGGGAGAGGCCTTGGTGTATCAAATTCACCCAAGGCAGCGATGCCATTGCCACTTCCTCCCCAGAAACGACCCTGCAGGAGCTGGGTCTCCTGGAGGACTGTGAGCTGATGGTCCTGAGAAGGGAGCCTTGGCGCCGCCAGAATTTGGGTTGTAGCCGCTACAACAACAACTATGCGTGCCACGTCCGGGAACTGCGTGAGGTGGGCCCGGCAGAGCTGGAATTGGACTTCTCCGCACACGGCGACAATTCGCTGGGACCCTTGCAGAAGGCGGAAGCAAGTGTGCTGGTTTGGAGGCCGGGGCGACGGATGATTCTCTGGCGACAGCCTGGTGCCGGGTGAACTTCACCGTGGAGACCGAGCGACGGAAGGAAGGTACCATGACCTTTTCCAATGTCCCAACCTCTGGTTGGGTGAGTTTCATCTTTGGGGAGGGTGGCTACTCCCACCTGATCACGAGCCTCGGCCCTGAGGACGATAGTGAGGCCAAAGCTTGATGTACAGAGGGATTCACAGATGGATAGTGCGTGAGCTCCTGATTGTTAAAAACAAAGCCCCAAGATTCATTTCAGCACATTCTAAAGACTTAGGACGTATCAATTGCAGAAAGGCATGGATTACCCTCTGGTAAACTAACATAACAATGGAAAATCATCATTTTCAATGGGTAAATCCACTATTTCTATGGCCATTTTCAATAGCTATTTTGACACAACCAGAGGGTAGACCTGGCACCATTTTTGACCAGTTCTTCCCCGGTTTCGTGCCATTTGAGCACTGCGAGGTGCTCACAGCACTTGTGATCCCTCGCCTTCGAACGGCAGCGGCCCTTGGGGGAATCTTCGACGCGGAAAGCTGCGATGCTTGGCGTTTGGGAGGCCTACTGAGTTCATGAAATATCCATGGATGTTTACATGGATATCTAAGGTTAGTTGGATCTAGTGTGATTTGGTAGAACTCAGATGAACTCAGAATTGCCATTTGGCTTCTTTGGTAGAAGCGAAGGTTCCAAGATTACCATTCAGAATATCACATATATTATTTGTAAGGATTTGTTTTTGTTGGATATGGCTCTCCAAAAACTGCTAGTTTGGTGGAGATCCGGAGATGTGCGAAGCGTATCGAAGCGTGGGAGGCAGCATCCCAGTTTGGGGTACAAAAAATGGCCGATACGATGAGTGACATGTGAATTTTGTGACAAGAATTTTAGACATCCGGCAGTAAACCATCCATGAAATTGCCATAAATGGTTATAGTTATATATATTATATATATATATACATAAATGGTGGTAAACAGATTCCGCAAATGGAAAGTGTATGGTTGGGTTCACCGGTTAACCCCACTAGGCCACTTCCATCAGCTCGATCCCAGGAAGTGGTCAATTTCCCCGGTCAACGGGAGCCTGGAACTGATGACCACTTCTTAGCTGAGTCAAAAAAACTATGGTTTACCGGAAAATGGGTGTGTCTGAAAATAGTGTACCCCTAAACCCAATGGTTAATGATCATTATCCCTATTAAATGGCTATAATTGGGAATATACCCTATTTTCACCCTTGAGTTCGGTGTTTTCGAAATTTCCCAGAGTTCCCAAGCATCTTTGCCGGGGAAGGATCTGACATCTCACGACGTACCAAGGAACCACTGAGAGGCCTGTGCGAGGGAAAGGATGCCCGCCAGCTACGTCTCATTTGTGGCTGGGACCCGAGGTGTCACTCATTTTTAATATGTGTATGGATCAATACCTATTAATACCATTTTTAGTGGGATGAACATCCATTTACCAGCTATTTTGATGTGAACTACAGGGGTACAAGGTTTTGACACACTGCCATATGGCTATCTATCTAATGCTTTCTATCTCGATGAGCTATAACCAGCTCACGCTATCTCCATCTGATCTGAGTTCAGCTTGGTGAGCTGGTATAATTTATAAATCGTTCAGATGATTACCCTCTGGTTATTTAACATAGCCATGGTATAGATGGCCTATTTATAGATGGTTTACCTATTAAAAATGGTGATTTTCCATGGCTATGTTAAATAACCAGATGGTAATTCCCAAATTTGGGACCTTCAATACGCCAAGAACCCCCCCGTTTGATGCTGGTTTGATGCCACATCTTTGAGCAGTATCCAGCTGAGTGGCAACCATCACGAAAGATATCGGGGTCGTTTGCCGGATTTTCTTTGGCACTATGGCTGATTATTCTTGCATATATATATATATGTTTGCATGTATAGAATCTCCGCCCACTTACTGCAAAGTCACTGTAAAGGAGGGCTTTCTACCGAGCGCCCTCCTCTCTTCAGCACTAAGTCACTAAGTTCAGCCTCTGAACTAAGGATACTTACATAAGTCAGACATAAGTATGCAACTGGTTACTAGTTCGGGTAGGACAAGGGAGTGCTTTTGCACGCGCGATATGTTTAATTTTTGAACATGGGTAGTGGATTGCGTTTCGACAGGCTCAACATGTGATGATACAGTATGTGATGAAGTGCAGATGGAACTGCAATTGCCTTGGTGCTCAAGTGTATTATGAGAAAGGGTGAAAAGTCTTCAAGCTCCTGCGCATCTGAGTAGCAAGGGGGGAAATTCGATCCTAGATGTGAAAGCAACATTCCTTTTCATGCCTTTTTCCAAGAATCTTCTATGAGTCTGTTTTGTGGGGGGTTGGTTTGGGTCC